GTCTTGGTTTTCCTCTGGAAGTAATAGACACATTTAGCCTCACTGGTAACACTTAATAATTTATACTCAGCAAGCATGTTAAATTTGTGGAATATTCGGTAACTAACTAAATATCCCCCCTTTTTTTTTTTTGCTGCCAGTATTTGTCACAGCAACCAGAAATTTCTTGCCCTAGAAGATAAATGTTCAGACTTTTATTCTTAGCATAAAGATAATTCTATAGAGCTCTGTAGCTACATGGATTAGCTCCCAGAATGCAGTCAATAGTTACTGTGTTCTGTTTGGGCATATTACTTATTTTGAGAGTTCTTTTTGGAGATTTAGTTGACTTCAGTGCTTGACAGTTCATGGAAAACTAACTTAATATTAACTTATTAATCGGGGTTCTGTCTGCTAAAACTTATGTGACTTTCTTGATTAACACTTCTTTTGAAACACTTTTCTTCTTTCTCTTTCAGTCTTGGTCTTTGTAATGGGAAAAGAAGGGGTCCATGGAGGCGGATTGAATAAGAAGGCATACTCAATGGCAAAATACTTGAGAGACTCTGGGTTCTAGCTGCTAGGCAGACTGTTAAGTATTAGGGGAAAATTGCTCTTAAACTTTCCTAGCTGTAAGCTTGAGTCTTAATTCTGGAAATTTTATTAGCAATGCAGGGTGATGGGGTATGAACCTGTGTCTCCTTTGTATCCCTCTGTTGGTGGGGAAAGGTGTCTTTCTTTTTGCCCTCCCCCCTTTAAATAATTCTGTTCACTTTTGTTTTGTTTCCTTGTGTACTCCAGCATTGGTTATAGTCATGGGAAAGGAAGGTGTCCACGGAGGCACACTTAACAAGAAAGCATATGAACTCGCTTTATACCTGAGGAGGTCTGATGTGTAAGCAGCCTCTCCCCATCTACCTAGCAACTGTCTTCATCATCACCCCAATTATGGTCACAGTGCTACCAGACTATAGATGGTAGCTGATTTTCTTTATCTATTTTCTAATGTCACGATTTGTTTGTCCAATGGATCATTTGTATGTTAACCACTGTATGTAACCAACCCTTATCTGGCAAAATAATTGCAGCACAATAATAATTTGCATGATACCTTGAAATTTGGGGGGAGGGGGCATGCCAAGTTGGGCATCACTTTGTCTTAGCAATTAATGGGCTATCGATTACTAAAATAAGGTAATACTAAGCAAGGTGCCGGTTGTACAATCTTATTTAATCAATGTCTTTTCAGCAGTTTGAGCATTTATTTGGCTCATTAGTCTTCCTTTTGTTGCGCATGGTTGGGAGGAAAAAGCATGCATCTTTCCTTCACTCCTCTTTTCCCATCCTGCCCTTTGCACATAAGGTATATTTGGTTTGCTTCCATCGTTTCTTATGCAGTGCTTGGTTTATTTAACCAATTAATATCCCTTTTGTTGATGAGCTATGAGAGTTGTAGTAGTTTGCTTTCAGTATTGTTGTTGCACTTGACAATACTTTTTTCATAGTATCTACAGGACATACGAAGAGTGCAACTGCAAAATGAGCAAAAGGCACTTCCTCCCATGACCTTACAGTAACCATACTGATTGAATCCCCAGGGACATTCCATCATTGCAATAGGTCAGATTTTGGTTTCTGTCTTTTTTTTTTTTTTTGCACACCAGCTCTATTCTTTAGTGAAATTGTAAAAGGCTGCCGTTATGGACATTAGGTATCCCAAATAACCATCTGGAGTGTGTCCAGTTTGTTCTTCATAGGACCAATTTTTATTTGCAGCTTGAATTTTTATATGAAGTTGCATTATTGTGGACTTGGCTGTCTTGTGATGAATTTTTTTCATATGTATTCTGTGCCATACTATTGTTAAAATGAACTGTTGCTCTTGTGAGATGGATTTTAACTGACCTATTAAGGATTTCTTTCGAATGGCACTACTTTAGGGACATTTTAGTATTTGCTTCTATTGTTTGGGCCTTGTGGATAATGTACAGATTTAAAAACAAATCTTGTTGCTGATTTGTCCATTTCTTTCCCTGCACTTTGTTACATCTGGGATACAGTCTAACTCATCTGATTTAATATGCATTTAAAAAAATGCCATAACTATTAAACACCTTGTTTACAGACAGATGAAATAAATTTATTCCAACCAAATAATCTAGACTCTTGTTGTTTATATGAATTGTTGACTTACTGTTAAAGTTGATTTTTGACAATGTAAGAACATAAAGAATGGGCTAAAGGCTGCAGCAAGCACAAAAGTTTACAATAAAAAAAAAATAGCTGATGGCCTACTTCATTTCAAGCAGTATTTACTACAAATAAAATGTGTCTGGGAGTTGCTTTTTAATGGGCTTTGATCTTATTTAAAATGATGTCTATTCATTTCAGATTCATCTTCAGGCTTTTAAAAGGAAAATTGACTTACCTCCTGTAAATATTTTCCTCTTGTTGCTGCCATCGAGTTGTGATATATAGTGAGTGATAAGGGGCCTCACTGACAAGGGTTTCCTGCACTATTGTGGATCCTTCTGTGTTGAAATATCTCATTTCTTTAGATTTGTAAGCTGTTTTAGGAGGCTGATGTTGGCCAACTAGGACTCTTCCTTGTAAGAGCAGAAGACTTACTGCATATAAGCTCACAGTTTTTGCCTTTGGAGTGACATGTTGATTATGGGTACATAGTGGTGGTGGTGGTGTTATTTGCCGTCGAGTCGCCCCGACTCATAGCGACCCCTCCTTGGGTTTCCGAGGCAGTATCACTACAGAAGTAGGATTGCCCAACCTTCCTTC